GGAAAGCGAAGCAAAGGAGGAAGAAGGACTTGTTTCCAGAATGCTGAGTTGATAGACTCAGTTTAAGGCCAAGATACTCAACGATATCATTTTGGGCTTAAAGCCAAACTACTGTTTTATTTGTGTCTCAGTTGGTTTATTATTTCAGAAACCAAACGCATCTACTTTGTCCATCCTTTGATCGATCTAACACACATATTCATTGTTTACAGTATTCACTTCGAATAGGGTTCGTTGCATTTTCTGAAAAAGGAAGTACCAAGTCTCGCGCTCGACTCATATTACACGTGGTATCAGAGCCCGACTCCGAAAAACAAGGCTTAATCCCCTTTGGAGGAGATGAGTTCAAGCGTAAACACTGGAGCAATCTTTATGGCTTATGGACCACTAGAAGTGAAAGGAGTTCGAGGTCAATGGTCAGAAACTGACAAGAAGAATTACTAGCTGAACTCTAAAGCCACGAATCTACCATACTATGCATTGGGACCAGAGGAGTATCATCGTGTCACTGGATACAAATCTGCAAAGGAAATATGGGATAAACTTCAAGTAGAGCTCATGAAGGTGCGACTCATGTAAAAATCTCAATAATTAATAGTCTGAAGCAAGAGTTTGAGTCTATTGTCATGAAGCCTAAAGAATCAGCTAAAGACATGAATGAAAGATTCACAACTATTGTCGATAGTCTGGTAAATCTGGGAATTGCATACGAGAGCAGCGATCTAGTCAGAAAGGTGTTATGGGCACTGGCGAAGAAATGGATGCCAAAGGTCACCGCAATTGAAGAATCAAAAGATCTTACAAAGCTCAGCCTTGAGGAGCTCATAGGATCCTTAATAACGAGATGGAGAAAAACTGAAAAGAGAGAGGCTGAAGAGCCAAATAAGGAACGATGAAGCATAGTCTTCAAGACGACTGCTCAAGAAGAAGACTTTGACAGTCTCGATGAAATGGAAGATGAGGAATTAGCCATGATGAGCAAACATGTGGCTAAGCTTATGAGGCTGAGAAAAGAAAAGAGAAGAGGAGGATTGATAAATCGTACTAGGGAAGGAGAAGATCAACCAAAATTCAATCGCACATTGCTGAGACTCGGAAATGAAGGGGTTTCAAATGAAAAACAACAATCTCAGGTTGGATGCTTCAAATGTGGAAGGTTGGGTCACATAAAGGCCAAATGTCCAATGATGAAGAGGGAAAAAGTACACACTGCAACTTGGAGCTGTAGTAAAGAAGAAGAAGATGATGATGAAATCAGACATGTTGCATACATGGCGCCGGAAGCAAGTGATGGTGATTCCAAACCACCTCAGGTAAGTCACATTGGCTATTATTCTAATGATTATAGTGAAACCGAGGAAATGATTGACACCATTAGAAATATTCAATAAGAATTTGAAAATGTTAGACTTAAGCACACCAAGCTAAAAGCTGAGTTTCTAAGCATGAATAATGCCTATGGAAAGCTAAAAGAAGATAAAAAGGTTTTAGAAAATCAATTTAAGCAATGTCTTCTTGAAAATGAAGTTCTTAAAACTGATTTTCAAAACTTAAAAGAGATACAAAATCATACGAATTGTAAGTGCAGTGAGGAATGTCACTCTAGCATAAGTGAGTTCAAGATAGGAGGTGGGACAGTAAAAGTACCAAATACTAGAATTACAAATTCACCTAAGAAAAAAAGGTCAAATAACGTTGGATGTTTCTATTGTCATCAGGACGGGCATTACATTGCAAATTGTAGGAAAAGGATTACAAAAGAAGTCAAGTTAAAAAAACATGAGGTGTCATAACTATAGTGAACTAGGTCATTTAAAGAGATATTGTAATAAAACCCTTAGAGTATCAAAACGAATTTGGATACCAAACACCAAGTAAAATCATGATTATGCATGTCTGTCTCCAAGTGAGCATGGATGACAGTGAATGGATCCTGGATAGCGGATGCTCACACCACATGACAGGTTCAAGAAACTTATTTTCAAGGCTTACCTTTGGAAACAAAGGTAAGGTTTACTTTGGTGATAATTACAACACTAGTATTCTAGGAAAAGGTCAGGTAGGTCAAACTCATTCAATAAAAAAAGTCATGTTGGTAGAAGGTCTTAAACCCAATTTACTGTCCATAAATCAAATTTGTGGTAATGAAAACAGTGTAGTATTTGAACCGAATTCATGTTATGTAGAGAACATCTTGAGTAAATAGGTCTTATTCACAGGAAAGAAAAAGGGGGAAATGTTCATTATAGATCTAAATGATAAAGCCATGTTCAATGAGACATGTCTAGTTTCACTGGATAAAAATGATAAGTTGGAATGGCACAGAAGGCCAGGTCATGTAAGTGTAGGAATTATTTCTAGACTAGTGAATCTAGGACTTGCTAGAGGTATTCCCAAAATTCATAGTAAGAAGGAATTCTTCTGTGCAACTTGTGCAAAAGGTAAGCACACTAGGCCTTCCTTTAAAAGCAAAACTGTAATTTCCACTAAAAGACCTCTAGAACTTTTACATTTGGACCTGTTCGGACCTAAAAACATCAAAAGCTTAGGTGGAAAACAATACGCCTGTGTTATTGTGGATGATTACTCTAGATTTACATGGGTTCTTTTTCTTGCATCAAAAGATGAAACATTTGAAAACTTCAGATTTCTTGCTAAGCGAATTGAAAATGAAAAGGGGAATAAAATTGTCAGCATTAGGAGTGATCATGGAGGGGAATTTATTTATGATAAATTTAGTCTCTTCTGAGATGAGCATGGCGTTTCACATAACTTCTCAGCTCCTAGGACTCCCAGCAGAGCGGAGTAGTAGAAAGGACAAACAGAACTCTAATAGACACAGCTAGAACCATGTTAAATGACTATGGATTGGCAAAACATTTTTGGGCAGAAGCAATTAACACAACTTGCTATATAACTAATAGAGCTCTCATTCGATCTAATTTAAATAAAAAACCTTATGAACTGTGGAAGGAGAGAAAACCAAATCTGGAATATTTTCATCCCTTCGGATGCAAGTGCTTTGTGTTAAACACCAAGGATAACCTTGGTAAATTTGATGCCAAATCAGATGAGGCAACATTCTTAGGCTACTCGACACACAGAAGAGCCTATAGAATATTTAACAAAAGGACCCTCAAAGTAGAGGAGTCCATCAATGTTATATTCAATGAAACTTCAAGTGAGTGTGCACATAGTCTAGACGACTCAAAGGATTTTGGACTTGGAAAAGCAATAGTAGAAGGAACTATGAAGGAAACTGTGGTCGAAGACAATACCAAGGCAGATGAATCTAAAAGATTAGAAAAGGAGAATGAACCTCAACTCTAGCTCACATCAGAAAGCGTCATCCGCCTTCGCTGGTCATTGGAGACATGGGACAAGGTATTATTACTCGATCTAAAACTTCATATGTGCATACTGCCTTTGTCTCTTTAATTGAACCTAAAACTATAAAGGAAGCCTTAGATGATTAATACTGGAATGCATCAATGCATGAAGAAATGAATCAATTTAAAAGAAATAATGTATGGGAACTTGTTCCAAAACCAGAAAATAGAGTCATAATTAGAACAAGTGGATTTATCGAAACAAATTTGATGAAGTAGGAACTATTACTAGAAATAAGTCCAGATTAGTTGCTCAGGGTTATAGTCAGAAAGAAGATATAGATTTTGAAGAAACATTTGCACCTGTACCAAGACTAGAAGACATAAGGTTACGATGTGCGTTTGCTGCATCTCAAGGGTTTAAACTGTATCAAATGGATGTGAAAAGTGCATTCTTAAATGGAGATATAAAAGAGGAAGTATACGTGTCTCAACCTCTTGGGTTTGAAGACTACGAATACCCAGATCATGTATATAAGCTAAATAAGGCTCTGTATAGACTTAAGCAAGATCCTAGAGTTTGGTATGGCAAACTAAGCCAATTTTTATTAGACAAATGTTTTCATAGAGGAGCAGTTGACAAAACTCTGTTTTTAAAAATTGAAAACTCACATACCTTATTGGTACAACTGTATATTGATGATATAATTTTTGGATCCACCAATAATGCATTATGTAAAGAATTTGAACAAGACATGAAAGGAGCTTTTGAAATGATTTTCATGAGAGAACTTAACTATTTCTTAGGACTGCAGGTTAAACAAACTAAGAAGGGCACCTTTATAAGTCAAACAAAATACCTTCTAAACATGTTTGACAGATTCAACTTTAAAAATCTTAAATCTGCATTAACTTCAATGGGATCAATAGTCAAATTATCAAAAGATGAGTCTGGAATTTTTGTTGATGACAGGATGTATCGTGGAATGATTGGGTCATTATTGTATTTGATAGCCAGTCAACCTGACATAATGTACAGTGTCTGTGTGTGTGTGCAAGGTTTCAAGGGTGTCCTAAAATGAGTCATCTAACTTCTGTCAAAAGGATTTTTCGTTATCTAAGTGGTACCTCTCACTTAGGATTGTGGTATTCCTGTAACTCTATCTTAGAGCTCGTTAGTTATAGTGATTCAGACTATGCTGAATGTGTTGTTGATAGAAAGAGTACGTCTGGAACGTGTCACTTTTTAGGAACTTCCTTGATTTCATGGGAAAGTAAAAAACAAAGTTTAGTGGCATTATCTACTGCTGCTGGACTGAGTTGTACTCAACTGTTATGGTTGAAATACCAGCTCCAAGACTATGGTCTAGATGTAGGTACTCTTCCCATTCTTTGTGACAACACCAGTGCAATACACATGACCAAGAACCCAATTCAACATTCCCATACCAAGCACATTAAGATATCCCTTCATTCGTGACTTGGTCCAAGAGGGAACAATTTGTCTAGAATTCATTAGTACAGATATGCACTGGGCTGATATCTTTACCAAACCTCTTGGGGCAGACAAATTCTTACCTATTCGTCATGAACTTGGCCTATTTTCCCTCAAAGAGATTGAATCTCTCGGATCCTGAGAATATAAACTTTCCTCGGTTAATAAATCCTGAGTATCTCGACTAACTTCAAGTCTCATCTAAACCTTCCTTATCCTACCTTCTCGAACCTTCTCTAGGGTTAATGCTCTCTATATATTTCAGCGACGCTAGGATTCTGTCTTCCATCCCTCATCAATTGTCACAAATCCATCTTCTGCTTACTATTCACAATGGCCATCAATAATGCTCAACTGCATCCTGCTGCGGTTTTCAACAAGAAAGGTTTCAGCAATGTTGCAGCCTACTCTAGATATCTCCGTAGGTTCAGAGATCGTCCCATCTATTCTTCATTCACCATTCAACCTTCTGGTTTTTCAAAATATGACATGAACATTCCCTCTCTTCTTGATGGTATTGGTTGGGGTTCATTGGTTGAAAACATGCGCTTTAGCTACTGTCCTGAGGCAGTCCGCATGTTTTATGTCAACATCACTCGAGGTCCTGGATGTGATCCATCTTTTTTCAAAACCATCGTGTTTAATTATGAGATCATAGTGACTCCTGAAATCCTGGCCACGACTCTCAATCTCCCTCACTCGGGACTTCGAGCGGGCACGAATGGTGAGTTTGTTGCTCGAGGATTCCACTTTGATGCTGCTCTGACTCGTTACACTCGTGACATTGGTTAGTTCTTTCCCTCTCCTCTCGCGGCTGGTCGTCTTCCTGACGATCTAAAGGTACTACACTTTTTCATCACTAGGTTCTTCTTGTCTCGTGATCTCTCTAGCACTGATCTCCTTCACTCTTCAGATCTTTGGATCTTATCTAATTCCAAAGAGGCTCAATTCATCAGCTATGCCTCACTGATGTTTCATCACATGATTAAGTTTGGCCTTCGATACTTCAGTGGTCCTCTGCCTTTTGGCCCCCAAATCACCAAACTTCTTTATTTCCTAGGTATTGACTTGCGCGACAAGGTCACACTCTGCAATGTCTTGGATGATCTGCGACTACATCATGTTTTGGCCAAGTTAGATGCTGAGGTTGGCCCCCGTAAGCCCGTCAATGGCTCAGGAGAAGTCATGATCATTCCTAAGTCGTACGCGACTGGTCAACTTGTGAATGCTCTTGTTGATGTAGATGTGTCAGTAATCAAGCGAGAATATTCGAATACAGGAAAACAAACCGCCACTCTGAAGCTTCTTAGGCAACAAGACTTGATGTGGCCTAAGTTTGTGTATGAGTCAGGAGCAGTCAATGACTCAATGAGTTCAGACTCTGAATCAGATGAGTCTTTGAGTTTTATCAGATTATGTAGGAGCTGTGTTGAGTCCTTGATTGTTACCAGTATTTCTTATATATGTTTAATTAATGAATAAGAAGATTCTCCCTGATATTTCACCTTTGCTCTCAAGTGAAACCATTCTGTAAATTTCTCGATTTGAACAGGCTGCACCAATCGTGTGTTACATGTGTGCAGATTGCAGGAAGAGCCAATGACAAGCTTAGGGGGAGTTTGTTGGACGAAGCTTGGTCAATGGCGTTGAGAAATTAAGGAAAGGAGAAAAGCGGAGGTATCTTAGAACTCCAAAAAGGGAAGGTTCTGATATTAAGATCAATCAGGGTAATCAAGGAACCAAACTAATTCTCAAACCAGTACAGCAACGGTTGGCAGTTGTATAACATATAAGGTGGGATTATGGGTAGAATATATTAACTTTTTCGAGAACTTTCAAACAGGCAGAAACAGAGTGTTTCAGAGAAGGGTTTTGAAAGGAAAAAAGAACAGAGTTGTCAGGGAGAGAACTCAGGATGTGATAGTGTGCTCATAAGGTTAGAATGATTGCTGGGAGCAAGACTCTAAAGGGGTGATTCTGATCAAGTAACGGGGAGTCACATAGAGATCAGCCTGTGTATCTTGTAAATCGGATTCAATCGTCATAGTGAAACGTCAAAGACTCAAATCAAAGATCCTTTGACCATGGACTAATTGATACTGAATTATTAGTATCGGAAACCACGTAAAAAAAATTCTGTGTCATCTAATATTCATATCTTGCTAATCAATACTTTTGTTAGTCTGTGTTGGCAGCAAAAGGTTCTGTTTTGCAGGAGGTCAGGAACAGGGAAACGAAGTAGAGGAGGAAGAAGGACTTGTTGCCAGACTGCTGAGATGATAGACTCAGTTTAAGTCCAAGATACTAAACGAGATCATTTTGGGCTTAAAGCCCAACTACCATTTTATTTGTGTCTCAGTTTGTTTATTATTTCAGAAACCAAAGGCATCTATTTTGTCAATCCTTTGATCGATCTAACACACATATTCATTGTTTACCGTATTCACTTAGATTAGGGTTTGTTACATTTCTAGAAAAGGAAGAACCAAGTCTCGCGCTCGACTCAATCCACACAAATCTCAAGCATCGTGTATTTGTCTGTAAATCCAAAGTTTTTTTTTTTTTTGCTTGATGAGAGCAAAATCCATGGTCCATTAATTTGGACTCTTTTTGGATGAAAATCCGTGGGTACTACGGATTTGTAAATCCCACACCATCCCTTGGGATTTGCCTAGCAGACCAAATCTTTGATGAATAGTTACTTAATTGTTCATCTAACAATTAACTAGGTGGCGATGACGCGCCTTATCGCGGACGGAGATGACATATGGGCATGTATTGTGTGGTCAGTTATGACATTTTGTTAGTATTATTAGTCTAAAATTAATGTTGTGTTAGCAGTTTTGTTAGCAATATTTATTTGAAAATATGATATTGACTGAGAAGAGATATATGGCGGTCGACATCCAATTTAATTTGTTTTGAAAAATTTGGCTAATAAATGATATTTACCTAAAACCATGTAGGCCCATTGATTATAGGTAGGGTATGAGTGACATATATATGAGTTTGTAAGTTTGTAGATGGATTTGGGTAGGGTATGAATATTTAGTTTCATAATCTAAATGTGTATGAGTTGTATGGATAGCCATTTATTCAAGGGTGTTTTAAATACACATACAAAAATTAGACTTATTTGTAAAAGTTCAAAAGTTTAGGTACGAACAAAATTTCAGGTACTAAAATGTAATGTTTCATCAATATTTTGAGGCTTATATATGTCAAAAAAATAAATTTAGGTTATAAATCTAAAGATCTATTAAGTTTAGGTATTCAACATGATAATTGTCTACTTTTTTATAGAAAAATGAAAACTATTTATTTGATATGTGTAAATACCTAGCCAAACATTCCATGTATAATTGTTGAAAATTCTACCCCAGGTTACAAAGTGGAACTTGCTTTAAATTTCACACCTTCAAATCCCATAGTGGGAAATGACGACTTTCAAATAAGTACATAACCATATATATTTATTTTTAATTGGATTCGACTTTGAGCTGAAAAAGTTAGTGGTTCATGGTTCAATCATTAATTCTCTAGTCTGTTGGTGAGTCGTGTATAGACTCGTTTATACTTGTTATTAGAATACATAAAAATAGTATACTAATTAGGGTTATGGAAGGCGAGTGAAAAGTGGAACGAAGAGGAAGTAGATGATGGAAATGATTGGTGGATTGGATTCATGGATTCAAGTGAAATCTAAATATTGGACCAATATGTAAATTTTAAAAATTATAGGTACGAAAATCTCATAAAATTTAGATACCAAAACATAATTGTTCAATAATTTTACATTAAAATTACATTTGGGGTATCACAATGTAAAATGTATATTATAGTGACTAAGTTATAATTTAAATATTTTGGGGTTTCAAAATATTATTGTTGATGCAACAGTAACCTTACTAAGGTTTATATATATTGTTCAATACATTAAAATTACATTTGGGGTATCACAATGTAAAATGTATATTATAGTGACTAAGTTGTAATTTTAAAAATTTGGAGTATCAAAATGTTATTGTTTATGCAACAGTAACCTTACTTAATGTCTATATATATTAATTATTCCAACTCTCTATATATTTTAAAAATTCTACCTATTATCTGGATATACCAAGAAAGATTAAAGCTAGTTATGTTGATTATGTGCAGTTCAAGTTGATGCGTGGTTGTTTATTTCCTTTCCATGTAAGGTTTGGGGTGATTTAAAAGAGTTAATACCTTCGTTTGACTAGAACTATAGACAAATTTTCTACTTTGGCCCGTGGTATCGGAAATTGCTATCCTGGCCTGAACTATGTAGCATACTTCCATATATGGCCCGAAGGCGTCAAATTAGACGGTCAACCGAGTTGATTGTTAGTAAAAGTCCAACTCATTTGCCGCGTCAGCTAGCAGGATTTTTTTTTAATTCTTTTGTTTACTTTCTAATAATAAAAAATTAATATTATCAAAAATAATAATTTTTTATCATACAATTTTTTTTTTTGTGGTGTGGAAGATGTGATCGACATAAATTTTTTTATAATATTAATTTTTTATTATTAATTTTTTTACTATTGAATTTGTAATGTTCAATTATGTGATAATCGGTGATTGCTAAAAAAGTGTTCACACCCTATAAATTGAGTTAGTATTGTATGGGACTAAATTAATTTCGAACCACACACCAATTTAATACATGAAACGATCCAAATTGTCTTGCCGCCATATATAAAACAAATGAAGTAATGGTGGTAAGGTAAATTACCATTTAAAATGATAAATCCATAATCCTAAACTCTATCAACAAATCTTAGAGCTTAATACACATTACTTAACTTGCACATCTATGTCCACACAGTGTATATGATTGCCTGAGTCTAGCTAGGTCTTACTAATTACTCGGTGAAAAGAGATTTAAAACCATTGATGATGACCACTCATTGAAAGATATAATTCTTAAGAGCAGAACAAATTGTGATTTACTCGATTCCAGTTGTCTCGTTGTCGTTGACCTAGTCAAGTGTGTAAAGGTTGAAGTATAATTAAGGATCAAGGACTTTTTGTTGATCATAATGAATGATGTTGAAGTTTGGTCCCGTATGTGCCGATATATACAAAGTCCATGATGATTTTAATCATTTACCTTCGCCGCTCACCATTATTTTCTAAATTTCACGCCTAGCTATGATATGCTATGCCATTAGAAGTGTCCATTTCACGCCTACATAGGTAATCACTAGTATATATTTGGAATATATCATACTTCAAGCAATGGCTGAACAAGAAATATTATTTAAGAGTTTTCTTTAAGAAAAACATTATTAAATAACAAAATATTCGACTTACAAAAGTTGGTACAAAATACCCTGATGTATTTTTATATTCTGATTAAATTGTTAATACACTCATTGTGCTCAACAAATCTTTTTTAATATATCCTGGGTTCGGATCCTATGACTAAGGGTGTCCTTAGTCATGTGATTAACCCCTCGTAGCCGTTGGATCTTTATTAATCAATCTAAAAGTGAAAATTAGGGAAGGGATAGTTAAATAATGGGAGGGGCGGTTCTGGGATTATGATAAAATTCATTTAAGTTTATTTTTTTTCCTCCAACCGTCCTCTTATGCGCTTGCAGCGCACGGTAGAGAGAGAAACGCAGCGATGGGGAGAAAACAACGACGATGGTGAAAGAGAGGCGGCCGACGATGATGATGAAGAGAAAGAAATGACACCTCGATGGCGGCGGCAACATTGGAGAGAGAGAGAAAGCAGGCCTGGCCGTCAACATCTGGAAAACAGAGGAGACCGAGAGACTATGGTGGAGGAGAGAAGGCAGTGGCGGTGAGAGAGCATCAACGACGGTGGAGGTGAGAGAGGCGGCGCGACGTTGGCGAGAGAGAGAGAGAGAGAGAGAGAGAGAGAGAGAGAGAGGTGGTAGCGGGAGTAGAGAGAGTCGCCGACAGCAGCGGTGGAGAGAGAGTCGATGGCGGCAGATCTCTCGACTCTGTATTTTGTTGTCCGAGGGAAGAACAATGATTTGTAATGCAAGTGTTGTCGGTTTGTATTATTAGTATTTTTGTATGATTTGTATAGTTTGTATTTGTAATATTAATTTGTATACTTTATATATATTGATTTGTGATGCAAGTCACGTCGGTTTGTATTGTCAGTACTCTACTTTGTACTCTTAGTATGGTTTGGGTACTTTGTCACTATCTTTTCATTACAAATTATGATGTTTACAAATCAACCCTATAAATATTATAAAGCAGAATGATAAC